GGGGGATTTTGGGGGAGGCTGCAGTATTTTTGGGATGATTTTTGGGGTGTTTTGGTGTGATTCCGGGAGTGTTTTGGGGCTGATTTTGGAGTATTTTGGAGGTGGTTTGGAGGCTTTCTTGGGATGGCTTTGGGATGATTTTTGGGCTGCTTTCGGGGTGTTTTGGGGGTGATTTTAGGGGGAATTTTTGTGGCATTTTGGGGGTGGTTTTGGGGGGTTTTGGTGTGATTTTTGGGGCGGTTTTGTGGTGGTTTTGGCGGGGGAGTGGTGGTGAAGGAAAGCATTCAACCACAGCAAACCCTTCAGCAACCCAAATGGTTGGTCCAGAAATTTGGTCTGGCTGGGAATTTCTGAGGAGAAGAAAAATCTTCATTGTGAAGGGAAAAAAAAAAAAAAAAAAAAAAAAAAAAAAAAAAAAAAAAAAAAAAAAAAAAAAAGGTTGAAATGGCTCCTGGTGGGATTTGGGGAGACATAAATATTATATACATATATAAATACATAATATATTTATAGGGGTTGGACTGGATGATCTCAGAGGGCCTTTCCAACCCAGCTGATTCTGTGATTCTATAATTCTGTATTATATGTAATAAGATATATAATATACAATGTGTGAACATATATAAAGTATATTATACAACATATTATATGTTATACATGCAATATATAATATATAATAATATAATACTACAATAACATAATAATGGGTTGTATATTATATATACTAATATACAACGATACAAAAAATATAACATAATGTATGATATATTATTATATATGTTATACATAACAGTTAATTTATATTCTATTGTAATATTTCAATATATTTTATAAAATATAATTATACATTATATATATTATATATATTGTATAAATACATTATATATATATAAAAATATATATGTATATATATACTATATATATACTATATATATAGTATAAATACATTATATATATAAAATATATAATATATATAATGTGTGTATATATAATATATATAATGTGTATATATATACATTATATATAATATATATAATGTGATAATACATAATGTATTAAAATATATATTATGTTATACACAATATATAATAGTTAATATAACATATATTACATAATATATATTATAATATATATTATAATATTTAATGAATTATAAATCACATTATATATCACGTGTATAATAATATATATTATATATAATGTGATAATATTGAGTATAACATATTATATGGTATACATAATATAATATAAATATTATAATACATTGTAATACATTATATACAATATATATTATAAATATTTTATATACATTTATATATTTATATATATTATATAGAAATAATATATATATAATATATATTATATATATAAATAATATAAAATTTATATTATATACATAAAATATATTATATGTAAGATATATTATACATATAATATATATAATATATATAATATATAATATATATACTATATATAATATATATTATATATAGAAAATTATATATAATATATATTATTATATAATATATATAATAATTATATATTTTTATATATAATTATATATAATTGTTATTTATATAATTATTATCCTTTTTTTTAATATATATTTATTTTGGCGATGTTTTCGGGTTGTTTTGGGGGTATTTTTGGGGTGATTTTGATGGTGGTTTGGGGAGCTAAATCTATCTATATAAATATATATATTTATATATATAAATATATAATATATATATTTCTATATATTATTATATATTATATATATTATATTATAATAAAAATATATCTTATAATATGATTATAAGATATATTATATATAATAATAAATAATTATTTATAATAAATCTATAATATTTATATATAATAAATTATAATATATATAATATATAAAATAAAAATATATGTTATATATTATTACTATATTATATATTACATTATATATTTTATATTATGTATACTATATATTATACTATATATTACTGTATTACAGAGATATAATAAATATTATATATTATATATAATATATTACGTTAGTATATGATATTATACTATATAATATATAATGTGATACTATATAGTATAATACATGTTATATATATGATATATAAAATAATATAATGTAATATATATTATATTATAAATCATTTATTGTGGAAACATATTATATGTATAAAATTAATTTCATATTTATATTTTGATTTATTATAATAAAAATTTTATTATTATTATTTTTATTATTTATTATTATAGTATAACTATATTTTTATATTTATTGATCATATGTCTAAAATATATAATTTATCAGTATATATAATGTATAATATATAGATTATATAAATTATATAATTATATAAATATTTAATTTAAATGGTGTACCCCTCCCCTGGTCGCTTTATTTTACATGGAGGTTTTTTATGGAGATCCATCTCTGGGAAGCAAAAATTTTAGTGGTGGGGGTGGAAATAAATAATATTCCAAGAACAGTTTATACCATCCTCTACCTTACAGATATTCAGGCAGGAATTTGTGTTTCTCCTATGAATTTCTACTGTATTTCTAATTTTTATTTTCAATTTTTTATTTTTAATTTGTATTTCTAATTTGTATTTTTATTTTTAATTTTATTTAATTTTATTTATTTTATTTTCTTTAAATTTAATGTGTTTGCATTTTTAATTTGCATTTCTAGCTTGTATTTCTGATCTTCTGCTCAGTAAAAATGACAGGCACTGAAAAGCCATAAAAACCTCCTACAAATCACAATTTAAATATGAGATACAGAGAAATGTACTTTGTGTATCTACTGCTTGTTTTCTTCTGACATTTTGGGGATGTGGGCAGGGCTGGGGACGGTTTTGCCCTTTAAAAATTAAAAGGAAAAAAAATAAAAGGAGGAAAAGAATCATTTAAATCAAGGGCTGGGAAGAAGAAGATGAACTAAAGAGAAGCCCTTTCCAAGCGGCTCCGGGTTATTCTGGACTAAAGCACCTTCAGAAAGGTTTTCCCGAGGGTTTAATGGCCCTGCCACGAGCAACACCCTGGATAAAGCCTGGCAGGGAAATGTTCCCAGTGGATTCCACTGCAAAAAAAATACCCAAATCCCCTCGTCCCAAACTCGTGGGGTGGATTTACTGACAAACACAGCCCGCTGGGTGAGCACGTGACACCTGGCCAGTCCATCCCCCTGCAGCACTGCCTCACCCCAGGGGAGCTTTGTTATTAAATTTATTTATTCATTTATTAAATCAGAGACAATTTACAGCTTCAGGCGCTGCTCATCACGAGAACCACGAGCCCCGCTGTCCCCTCCTTCCCTCACCTCAAGCAAAGCACTTTCCCTCCCCCCCCACTGTCGGACCCAGCATGGACATTCCCCTGGATAACCCCAAATCCGCGTGGAAAGCAGGTTGTTCAGCGTGCTGTTCCCTCCTCCAGGGCTGCAAGGGCTCTAAAAAGCGACCTGGAAGGCCAGTGCTGGAGGAATTATCCTTCAAAACCCACCTCCGCAGCCCCGGAACGCGGCCCAGGTGTCACTGCTGGCCAAGAGGGATGGAAGGGCAGGGTGGGGGAAGGAGAGAGCGGTGGGAAGGTGATGGATGGACTGAGCATGCAACAATTGCCATCCGTGGAATCGGCTCTCTGGGAGCGGGGTCACGGATCCCAGGGACAGCGGGGGATGCTGGCCAAGCCAGCGTGGTTGGAGGCATCTCAGCTGATTGTGCCAGAGTGACCAGCCCTGTTCCTGATTGTCACCTTCCCCGCAGCTGCTGAGGGCCAGGAGGGGTTTGGAGCACATCAAAGGGAGGGGGCCCAGCCGGGGGGAATTCGGGAGAGATGGGAACTTTTCCCACTGGGAACAGCGACACCAAATCCCAGCTGAGGGACAGCCCTGGGGCTGCGGCCAAGACCACGCGAGTGAGCTTATTCCAGGCTCCTAAACCCAAAAAAACTGGGAAAACCGGGACAAACGACCCAAACTGAAAGGCCACAACAGCCCCTGGATGCCCCGAGGCCTCTGGTGACGCTCCGAGAAGCCCCAGCAAAGGGGTGACCTCCGAAAAGGCGGCACCTGGGCCGCGTCTGGGCAGCCCAGGAGAGGTTTTGGTGCCTTTGGAAAGAGCCCACGAGAGACCCCCCCCCACGCCCAAACCACCCCCTGCTGCCCCACGAGGCATCACTGGCAGTGCAGCAGCTCCTCCCAGCGAATGGGCTGGGAGAACACCTCCCGCTCCAGCCACAGCTCGTAGGAGTGGTGGAAGTCTCGGGGCAGGTCGAGGCGCTGGCCCAGCACGCTCTGCAGGCAGTTGTCCACGGGGCACAGCTCGGGGGGCCGCGCGCGCTCGTAGCGCCGGCTGTTGAAGGCCTCGATGCTGGCCCGCAGGGTGCACTCCTCAGCCTGGAAATCCCACGGCCTGGCGTCGATGTCTGGGGGGAGAGAGAAAAAACAGCGTGGCAGGGAGGGGGAAATAACTCCCATGAGGTTTGGGCGAGAGAAAGGGGGAAGATTTCACAGCAAACACGTGCTTGAGTGGACTGGTCACTTCTTTCTTCTTCTTCTTCCACTTCTTATTCTCCTTCTTCTCCTTTTTCTTTATTTTGTGTCTTCTTTTCTTCTTATTCTCCTTCTTCACCTTTTTCTTTATTTTGCTTCTTCTTCTTTTCTTCTTATTCTCCTTCTTCTCCTTTTTCTTTATTTTGCTTCTTTTTCTTCTTCTTTTCTTCTTATTCTCTTTCTTCTCCTTTTTCTTTATTTTGCTTCTTCTCCTTTTCTTCTTATTCTCCTTCTTCTCCTTTTCTTCTTATTCTCCTTCTTCTCCTTTTTCTTTATTTTGCATCTTCTTCTTTTCTTCTTATTATCCTTCTTTTTCCTCTTCCTCTCCTGCCCCTTCTTTTTTTTTTTTTTAATTTTCTTTTAAAAATTCTTATTCTCATTCTTCCTAACAAAATTCCATTCTGTATGCATTTGAATTTAATGCACCCTAGAGAAATCTAGTTCTACCTGCTTTAAGCACTCCCTGTGATTACCGTTCTGCTTTTTTCAGAAAGACCCCACCCTAACAGAATTCAAATGGTTTTGTCTTCTAGAAAAAAAAAAGGGAAGATGTCAGGCTTTTTACTCCTTGCCGTGTTCCCTTTTGAAACAGGAATGGTGCCCGATCTTCCTACCTAATCCTCATTAAAAACCCCATCCCTGGAAGCGACCCAGGCCAGGTTTGGAGCGACCTGGGATAGTGGAAGGTGTCCCTGCCGTGGACAGCTCGGTGACCTGGTGTCACAAAGGGACTGGCAGTGCAGAGGAGAGGCCTGGCCTTGGGGGACACTCCTGTCGGGGAGCCCCACACTGCCCACGGCCCAGCGTGACCCCGTGATTCCCACCGTGACCCCGTGATTCCCACCGTTCCTGCTGCCATCCGCCCGCTCCCTGCCCATGGAGCAGCTCCAGGCTGCTCACCGGGAGGGTGTGGGGCACTCTGAGGGGTGTGGGGCACTCACTCTGACAGGTGTGGGGCACTCTAAGGGCTCCGAGGCCACGCCAAGCCCGAGGGGCGGGCACGGCTCACTCACCGTTGCCGTAGGCCCAGTCGTCGTTCATGCGGTGCCGCACCTTCTGGTAGATGGCCGACATGGTCTTCATGTTGCTCTTCCTCCACTGGCGCCCCAGGTACTTGGTCTGGATCTTGAGCAGCTTGAGCACGTAGAGCTGCAGCATGGCCTGCTTCACCTTCAGCGCCCGCTTCAGGATCGGCGCCGACTTGAACACCACCAGCATCTGCCAGGGACCCGCGGCAATCGGGATGGGAAGGGCAGGGAAGCCACGTCAGCTCTGCCTGGGCCACCTGGGGCACCCACAGCACCAACGGGGCCACAGACACCGCCATCAGCACCAGGCAGATGGGACGGGTCAGCACAACCAACGCCTGCTGCCCGTCAGGCAAAGACGGGGCTGATGGCAGGGGAAAAGGTATTTCTGCATTTTATGCCTTTAAAGCTCAGTCAGCGAGAGGGAAAAGGGCAGGTGAGGAAGGGCAGAAGCTCCAGCACTGCTGGAAGGAATGCCCAGCAGCAAGGCTGGGCTTAGAGCTGGGGACACGCTCCAGGATGGGCAAAGCCAGGCTTGGAACCAGGGACACGCTCCAGGATGGGCAAAGCCAGGCTTGGAACCAGGGACACGCTCCAGGATGGGCAAAGCCAGGCTTGGAACCAGGGACACGCTCCAGGATGGCCAAAGCCAGGCTTAGAACCAGGGAAATGCTCCAGGATGGGCAAAGCCAGGCTTAGAACCAGGGACACGCTCCAGGATGGCCAGGCCTAGAGGTCTCAGGGAGATGGGATGTCACCTCACCATCGTCCTGGAGTGTTTCCACTTGGTCAGTTTGTTGAGGATCCTCAGCAGGTTGATGCAGGAGAACAGATTCCTCCAGCAGAACTGGTTGTTGTCTCCAGCTTCCTGCAACGGGAGAAGGAGAAGAGTAACCCAGACCAAGTGTTCGACAGCCCCCCCAGAGGGGTCCTCGTGCACAAAGTCTGCGTTTTTACTGCCTGCACGAGTCTTATTCCTGCTCCTCACTGGATTTATCCTCCCTGCAGATGTTCCAGCAGAAGTGGCTCTGCTGAATGGTGGATTCTGGGAATCACCACCAGGAAAGCAGGGAAAGCCAGTGGAACATGAGCTGGGCCTTCTGGTCTGGGATGTTTTGGTCTCTCCTGAAAACAGTCTGTGTGGGGGTAGTGACACCAAACAGAGTTCCAGGATCCCTGAGGTTGGAAAAGCCCTCCCAACCCATGGATCCCCCCTGTGCCCCATCCCCACCTTGTCCCCCAGCCCAGAGGCCAACCAGAACGTGCTGCTGATCGAGTTTCTTTAATTCTGGGATTAAAAAAGCCACTCTGAGCAAATGCACTTTTGTGCCAGTGGAGGCTGTGCAGGGCTGGGGTGTCACCAGGACGTCACTTGGATGTCACCAAGGTGCTGGTGGGTGCTGTGTGCTGCTCTGGGGGTCCCAGCTCAGGAGGAGTGCCCAGGTCTAATCTGCTCCCTCTACACCAAGGAATTTTTCCAGAGTAAGCCAATATCCATTTCTTACACAGATGGATTTATTTGTTACCAACCTGATGTTGTCTCTAACAATTCAAGTAGGGGAGGATCTTTCCATCAGATTTATGGAAGGAGGGAATGGGCTCAGCAGGTTTGAATGCCCGTTTTGAGGGGTGGATGGAGTCCTGAGCAGCCCCTCCCCAACACAGGGGAGATGGGCACTGGCAAGGAATCCAGAGCCTTTCCCACCCCAGGATGGGGGAATCCCCCAGAACCTGACTGGGATTGCAGCCACTCCTGACCTACCCCGTGTGGGGACAGCAGTTCCCCCACAGGTCCCTCCTGCTGAAATCCTGGGAATAAACTCCCATGGGAATGAACCGCAGTCACACATCGCTCTGCTCGGCCCCCCAGAGCAGGATCACCCCTCACAAGGACTGGGTCACTCTGGGGGGTCCAAATCACTCAGCAGGGAGCCAAAAAAAGCCAAACCAATGCAGGAAATGTTGGCTGGAGAAACACAAATGTGGGCACTGACATTTGCCTCGAGCAGCAGGGAATGCCTAATTCCCAACAAACCCTTACTTCCACAGGGATCCCCCCGGAGATGAGCCCGTGGAGTAAAACCCAAGTTGGTTCCTGCTCATCTTCTGATTAATTTGATCTCCTGTGAGGTCAACATCCATGTCTGCTGGAGGAGAACAACCTGCAGCAGCTCCCAAACTGGGAACACCTTCCCTAAAAAAAAGCTCCGTTTTCTCCTAGAGGCTTTAAGCTGATTGTGAGGACTGGTGTGAGGCAGCAGAGCCCTCAGCCACCTGTCACTAGATGTCCCCACTGATCCAGGAGATCCAGAGCCTGGCAGGGCTGCACCAGGACCCCGCACCTGGGAAAAATCCTTCCCTGCGGCGATTTTAACCTTTGCACGGCAAAGGAAAACAACACGGGGTTATGATTTTAGCAGCCAGGCACCATTAGATCACCCCTGCCCAGACTGGGTTTGCTCAGGCTCCTTCTTGATGATTTAGGGTCTCCATTCCCCTCTCCATTCCCTGTTAACCCCAAAGCTTTTCCCTGTTCCGTGCCCTGGCTGAGTCCTGCTCTGAGTTATTGCAGTTCTGAACCTGCCATAATTAATGTCTGCTCTGCAGTTTGTGTATTTATATGTGAGCTCCATAACACTTCAGGCTCCTCTCCACAGGGAACTGGGTTCATTCCTTAATTCAGCTGGAGGTACCTGATGAAACTCGAGCGCTCAGAGCAATTTACACCAGAGCAATTGAAGCCCTTCCTAAAGCAGGAGAGTCTTGTCTCGACAGGACAAGGGGAAACGGCCTCAAGCTGTGCCAGGGGAGGCTCAGGTTGGCCATGAGGAGGAATTTGTTGCTGGCAAGGGTGGTGAGGCCTTGGCAGGGGCTGCCCAGGGAGGTTTGGAGTGCCCAGCCCTGGAGGTGTCCCAGGCAGGCCTGGCCGTGGCACTCAGTGCTCTGGGCTGGGGGACAAGGTGGGGATG